TTTTCGTGGCAGCTCTAGATGGTGGTGTGGGAACTTTGGAATTGGTTGTCTTTCTAATTTTTAATTATATTTTTTAGCTCACGAAATATTTTTCCTGTTTTTGCTTTTTAACGAGCGATATTTTCTCCACTGTCATAACGATCGAGATTACTTTCCACAAAGAAGATAATGTCCGTGGCTAAACGTCTTTTGTGTGTCACTTACAAGGATGAGTAACCTTTTTCAGTCACTTCCGCGACGAAATAACCTGTTCAACGTTGACTCCACCTGCTCGAATTTCGCGCCATCAGTCCGATTTTCGCGCCATCAATTTTCATTACGCCGCCTGTCGGCTGTTCCGAGAACTATGACGCCCCAAGATCCTGAGTGGACGTGACTGCCCTGACCAGGTTTACCAGTGTCCATGCTGGGGTATGGAGTCATCAACACTTTTAGAATGTGGCATAATTGTGTACTTATATATATATATATATATATATATATATATATATATATATATATATATATATATATATATATATATATATATATGGAATTCGTTTGTTTTACCTGGAGGCTGGAGCGACAGTGTGCTGTTAAGAGTTCTCAGTAAATAGTTGGTAGGGTTGGTACCCCTTATCAAAATTTTGTTGGAAACACCTTACCGGGTAGACCACTTTTTTGTGCTTATCTGCTTGTAAACTGTTTCTTTAATTTATGTGTAAATTATACTGCATGTTGAAACTAAGATTTTATACTAAGCACCTCATATACTGGAAATTATTGCTGTGTGTATAAGTAATCCTAAAAAGAAATTTATTGCTGGCGAGATTAAGTTCCTAAAACCTCTTGGAGTGAAGGAGATAATTAATTTGGGGGGAACCGAAACTTTTAAGCAGCTGCCGTGACTCCGCCATTTTATGAACTTTCTAAAATGGCGTCCTCAGCACTCGGCAACCGCCCCCTAACCTTTACATCTCTTTGTGGTGTCAGATGAGTGTGCTTGCCTTATCATCGTTATTATTTGTGGGATTAATTTCCTTAGGGATTTTTCAGTTACTTTCAAAAAGTGAAAAAAAAATATTTGTCAGGCAATGACTAACATTTTTAGTAATTGTAAATGCTGAATTTATGTAAACTTGTATGGTGATATTTCTGAATTATATACTGTATATATATATATATATATATATATATATATATATATATATATATATATATATATATATATATATATTACACGTGTTTTGGGAGATAACAGGTGGATACCAGGTGATAGTGAAGTTTAAGTTGAGTGAGAATTTTTGGTTCGTTTGTGAACGTGGGCGCCATGACCCTCCTCGGTTCAAATGGTTTTCCGTGAAGAATGACGAATGAAGTGGACGTAATAAAGCCATCAGGATGACATCATGGACACGGACAATAATGACCAAGACAATTTGGTGATGTGGGAGTCCTAAGCCCTGGCTTTGTTCTGGTCTCTCGGGAGCCGCCCCAGCTCAAATCTCAAGTCCCATTTCTTGGAGTCTCTGCCTCCCACTGAGATAAAGATGGCGTCGGCTGACATAGTTGGCCATTCTACATTTGTTGTCGTCCCGGACTCTATGTTTATGACTGTAGCGCATCGGTTAACGTTTTTGTTCCGGGAGTTGAGTTCCCCGGGCGCTGTGTGGCGGTTAGGCGGGCTTCTCGGAGTTCTCTTTCCTCCCCCCTGCAGGTACTACAACACCGCTTATTTATTTTATTTTTATAACCTCCTACAACAAACGTTACTCTCCAAGTTATAGCTCCTTGACCACCAACGCTGGTATCACTGTCAGTCACACCCACTTTCGATGTCTTAACACCTTTTGGGCGTTTGCGACAGCCTGATTTACGCCGGCTAACAGGGTATAACACCATCACGTACAGACGGTGGTGCTCAGGTACAGTGAACTTTCATCATACCTTGGTCTTGGCGGTAAAATATTTCGCAGGGGCAAACTTAGATGAGCAATATTATTATTATTATTATTATTTATTCATGCTTTTGTGAGGTAGGAATTTGTCACCCTTCACGCTGGGCGTCGCGGTGCCCCATCAATTTCCTAATTTTTTCATCAACTGGAATCTAAGAAAACATCTATAGAGTCTCAGCAGTAAAGTCTTACTGCAGTTTAATTACTATTTCAGCCGTGATTTTTTGTCATATCTTTAGTAATGGTGTAAGAAGCGTTCACCAGTTAGGTTATATTTAACGCATGAAACTTTGTCTAGGGATGTGTAGGTAATACGGTGAAAATAATAGCATACGTCTAGAATTGGATAATGTTTTATTTTTTATATGCTTATATGGATTTCAAACTGGTGAATGTACACTCGCTACAAAAATGATCGGAAAATTTTGTTAGACAATCCTACCGAGACAACAGGAGTCGCAGTGTCCATTTTGACATTCACCGGCCCACCTTGCTGACACCTACTGTAGCGAGTGTGCAACGCATTCACTGTTCATACAGTATATACATCCATACATGATTTTTAACATCACCCTCCAGACATGCCTACCAGTACCCTCCCCAGCGCTAGGCACACACACACCATGGCTGTGACCCCAACACCCTATGTGTACTTTCATAGATATTCACTATTGTTATTAGATAAAAGAATAATCAGAACATTGGCATGTCTGCCAGAGGCCCCACATTGAATAATCGAAGTAGTAGGGGTAGGGCTCAGAAATTGTGTCAAGGGTCCACAAGTGCTTGTGTATGCGAGTGTGTGTTAAGCGCCTCTGCACGCAAATACAAATACGACGTCACTCACACACACACACGAGAGACAGCACATCGTACTCAGTTACTCAGAGGACTATCAGGGACAGAGGCGTAGAGACCAGATACAGCCGGATGTAGTCTGGACTACACAACGGGCAGACATACACTGAATGCACTAACTCTGGGACTCAGCAGACTAGCTATGTCTTATACGCACTAGATCCACCGTCCTTATTTACACTGGACGCTACTTCTTGGCCCTTAAGCAAAATTGGGGACACGGTGATGAACGTGAATGGATGGTGATGATAGTGTGGGGGAGTATGCATGGATGTTTGTGTGGTGTGTGTATTGGGGAAGGCGTGTGCACATGGTTTTGTGTGGGGGTGGGGTATGCGATGGACGGAAAAAAGTCACAATTTTGGCTAGGAGAAAAAGTCACAATTCAGGTAATAAAACTAAAAATATTTTAAAACAGTTATTAACTGACAATACATGACTTTTACATATTGACAACACAATTTATATATGATGCATGTAGGTTAGGTTAGGTTGGGTTAGGTTTTTCCCGTGGCTTTTTTTCTGTGACTTTTTTCTAACTTTTTCCTGTGACTTTTTTCCTGGATTCGGGTATGCGTGGGTGCTTGTGTAGTGTGTGTGTTGGGGGGTGCAGGGGTGTTTGTGTGGTGCGTGTGTATTGGGGAAGGGGTGTGTGTATTGGGGAGAGGTTGTATGAGTGTGCCTTTATGGCGTGTGTGTGTTCTCGGAAAATTCTAACAGATATCCTCTTAGCTCTTCCTTGGAATGAAATTATAGTAAACATATTGTTGATAACCAGTTAAGAGGAATGTTAAGAACACGATAACACTTACTGGGAATGGAGTGGAGGGGCACGATAACTTTCTGGGAATGAAAAGATAGCAGTTCAGTAGAGTACATTGAATGGGGGCGTCACTTCTAAGCCTTTTATCATGGCAAACAGGCTTTGGGGAAACCATAACACATAAGAGTACAGTACAAGTCTATGTACAGAGCAGTATCAAGGTTTAATGATCACCTTAAGATTAATCACTGATGTAACCCAATCTAAATAAACTTAACCTAACCTAATGCTGATGCTATTAAGTGTGACTGTTCCTCAACTAATAATGTCTTTAAGTACAAATACTGTACAGGTACTGTAGTAGGTTACTAGTTATGCTAGTCATTAAATGTTTGGAAATGAAGAGAGATACACATACATCTCTCCTCCCCCCCCCTCCCCAGGTACTCCTAGGGTGGTTAATCAGTACAATTTCACTTGTCACCTGTTGCCACCTTACAAAATCGAAGTTGAACTATGTTTTTCCTATGGTTTTTTTATGTGTTATGAACGAATTTGACCTTTATTTCTGACGCAAATCAATAGTTTCTAAGATAAGCCCCACCCCCATCTCAGAATCTTTGAGATTTTTTATAAAAATCAAGGTAAAAGTGTTCAAAACACAACGAAAACCGTTGGAAAAACAAAACCCTAACTGGGGAGCTCCACAGTCGTTCAGTGATCTAGGTGTGTACTGCCACGTACGAATATGCATAATGCAATTTTAATTATCTTGCTTAAACGTAATTTGTGCCAGAAATGCCATTGAAAAAAAGTGTGTTAGAATTGTCAAAACTACTGATTGCAACTATAAAATTCCCGAGATGATGTAGTGGCAACAGGTGAAATAATACCAGTTAATCAACAGGTAAAATAAGCAGGGGGGTAATCTTTAAGTGATCTGTACTATTAAGTTACTAATTCACATACAACAGAGTCACTGTATTCTCTCTCTCATCAATAATATAGTTGGATGTGTTGAGTAATATGGAGTGTTCACATAACCAGCATAGCATATACCAGTACAGTATCCCTTGGGGGCTGTTGGCAGGTCTTGAATACTACTTATGATTAACAGTCTCTCATTTAATTTGTTTTGGGGTGACAGTGAGAACAGTAATACTGTACTGTATTTCATACCCCTTGATGTACGGTAACCTAGGCTAAGTGTTGTACTGTATCATCTGTATGTGAATTTTTTGACTGAGAATTCCATTACAGTACAGTACATATATACAGGTACAGTACTCGAATTCTGTTAGGAATAATTTATCATTACCGGTAACAAATTTAGATGTACAATCTCTATACCTGTTAACTAGGTAACTTCTGCAGCCTTAAGTAATTGTCATGCTTAAAGAAGTACTGTACAACTTTTTAACTGACTTCATTTTACATTTCAGCTTGGCCATTGTGGATTATTATGATCATCGCAGCAGTGTGCATTGCTATTGCCTTGATTCTTGTGGTAGTTGGCACTTATGGATGGGAGTAAGTACTGTCTCAGTTAGAAATTATTCGTGTCTTTAACATAAAAGCCTCAAATACAATGATGATAGTGTAGGAGAAAGTAATATCTCCAATAGCCAGAATCCCTCAAACCCGGATCACTCCGATAGCTGGAATTGAAATTTTCTCGGAAAATCTTTCACGAAGCCGCGGCTTTGGGAATGATTTTCTGAGGGGCACATTTTCTTGAAAATTCTGAGAAAGTTTTTCCAGTACAGTACCCGGAAAATTCCGTGGATGGGAGATTTTTATTCTGGGTTTGAGAGATGAAAATCGAGGTAATTTTCTGGAAATTCCAAGAAAAATTTTCTGAGTTCGAGAGATAATGTAATGCACAATTTTTGGAGCTTCAGAGAATATTTTTCCTTTACCCGGAAAATTCCAAGGATGAGGAATTTTTTCCCAGGTTTGAGAGATGAAATATTGCATCATTCTGGAACTTCCGAGAAATTTTTTCCGTCACCCGGAAAATTTCAAGGATGAGGATTATTTTTTTTTTCCTGCTTCGATAGAGTCGTCTCATTACCCGGAAATCTCTCATTCCAGGAAGTGCTCTGCACCAATTGTTCCGGCTAATGGAGATATCACTATATTTATTTTCTTACCATGAATTACTGTAATAGATAGCAGTTTTTAGTATTCTGCCTATACCATCATAAGGAACTGTTATATAGTATTCCTCACTCAGTTTCCAAATTTGTCTGTTACTGAAGATTTTTCCTTCACATTAATCACTGAATACAGGACTAAAGTACAGTACAAGATTTTTTATGTTATTTCATAAATGGCAAACTTACAACCATTGTTTTTAGTTAAAATTTTTTTTTACATTTTACGATACAGAAACAGTAGATTTTGCTTATAAAACTTTGCTCATATTAAAGCTTACAGTACAATACAACACTAAGTCAGTAATATACCGTTACCTATTTGTTGGTCAGATAAAACTTTGCTGATTGGTGGACACATTAGGGAACAATATTATTATACATAGCCATTTGTTTACCAGTATGTATCTATAACAAGTAATTTTTTACACCCACAGCCAGGTAAAGGCGTTCATGTATGAACTAAACCGCAAGCCAACCTTCCCAACTGGCCTGGTAAGTGTGAATCACAGTTGGCTCTAGTTCATGTAAATCTGATCATATTTTTGTGAATACATTACTTCCATATTTATGTACAGTACTAAACCCTTCCTCTTATATCTGATGGTTTATAGGCACCAACACACAACACTTATATGCTGTACTGTACTACAGGATACCCTTAACAAACCTAAGCAATTTTTGTATCAAATTCTTATCCCAAAAGTGCACCACCGGGTATACACTTCTTTTTTTATGCACCTTTGTCTAATATGACAAATACGTTATACTGTATTATAAAAAAATATGTTCATTCATTCATTTTTCATTCCAAGAGAAAAGAAATTGTGTGTATAAAAAGGGGGGGGGGCGCTATAATCTTAAAAATTTATTTTGTTGAAAATCTCAAAATTGGTTTAGTACTCCTTGACATGCTGATTAATGATCTGAGGTCAGGAAGTTGGAATTTGGGTAATTTTCAAAATTACTATGATTAACAGTTGAGGAACAAGGATGCTAAAACTAGGTAATTTCTTGAACCACAGCCATACTGTACTGACACTCCAAGCATAGTTATGATACACACAAACAATGGTAATTCTTTTGTGATTATGCCTTTGTACTCCTTAAGTAACTCCCATAGACTAATTCTGGAATTAAATATAATTTTTGTAAAGTAGGCTGGTACAGTATTGCTTCATCTTTTTGGATAAAGCACATTTAACTTTCTTTACAGTACAGTATATATACATTATGTATCGTGAAAGTACTGTATGGTATTTAGAATAATAGAGGATACTTGGTTCATTATTATTAGTAAAAGTTTGTCTCATACTTTTTATGTACAATCATACAATCGGCCTTAGAAGTGATGTCAGCGTTTTTGGTATGATTCGTTCAAACAGCAGTATATATCCAGCAACTTGGTGGGAGGTGAGGGAGTTACTGACCAGTGGGCTGGACTCCGTTTAGTAACATGGCATATTAATGAACTCCTGAGCCAAATTTCACTCTACTTAACTTTTTTCTGGCAGTCCCTTATATTTTTGCAGGTAAAAGGCTTCAATATGGGTAGCAAAAGTAAAAGAGTTATATCCCAATCCCATGCTTGAAAGATGAAGAAGATGAGTAAAGGGGAATGGGAAAGGACAGCTAGTCCAAAATGATACAGCAACATAAGCTGACAGCACTTTCTGATTGAAAGTTTCTGGAAATCGTGACATCATTCATTTGGGCAATTGTACTTTAGATTAATATTGGTAACCTATAACAGTGAAAGGTAATTATTGCTGTATTCCAAACTAACTTGAATTGTTCAGTGTGTTTATCATTATGGAAGATTACCAGAATTTGTATGAAATAATTCTTTTCTTAGGACCCTGACGAATACCATCCGCCGCCCCCATCGTCGGTACCAGGCAAGAAACTATGGCACTGGAACTTTTATGTTCCCAGAGACCCGAAAATCTCCTCAAGTACCAATGCCTCCAACACTTTAGAAGCACAAGATGTAAGTACTGTACTGATAATGTCCTCATATATTATACTTTAACATACTACAGTATACCCCTTCCTTCAGTAATAGCAGGAAGGTGCATGCATAATGTGTTCCCAGCCCTTTAACCATCAACCCAGAAGGGGAGGGGGGAGGGGACATTCCTTGGTTTCAAAATCACAACTGTTGTATTGTACTCTACCTGCAAAAATCTTATTTTTTATGAGGTAATGTACTCGTTTAGTTTTATAAGTTGTACAGGAAACCATCATTCTTGTACAAATTGATGTGATTCATTCAACCCAATAAGAGATAACATGATTTTATTTATATAGTAGTGTATAGTATATATACTGTATATAACACGGGTCACTACATCAGTGCAGTTTTTTTTGCCAGAAATTCACAGAATGTTTCCATGGTGAGAGGCACCAATTTCTTACTTTAAAACACACACTACAGTATATTCCTACATACAGTACTGTATACACAAATATCCTGACCTACATGAACATAGAACATGTCAGGATTTCTCCAAATAGCCATGTTAGGTCATACCTGTGTAACCATTACCCAGCCATGTACTGTACTAAGGTCAGAAGGATTAGTTTACCTGGTTGTAATGGATAATAGCCATCAGTTGTTTGTAAGAATTAGTAATTGTTATCCAACACTGCGGCCGCCTCCCTCTTATTGTAGCCTTAGTTAAAACACAACTTAAGCTATGATTTTCCATGTTTATCATGATAATTACTTGAGGTAAAGATGGGTTGAAGACTGTGATGCACCTGAGTGCTTGGCAGCTACCACAGGCTGTGCATCTGTATTGTGTGTGTCATCTTTTGAGCTTTTGACCATGAAGTATTTTGTTTCATATTTTTTGTATGCATCATATTTATGAATACAGTATAGTATTCCCTTAAAGCTCGTGGTTTTAAAGTTTGCATCCCTCATAAACTTGCGGATTACCAAGGAAAATACCGGTAAATAAAATAAATATAAGGCTAAGGGGAGCATCAGATGTCGGAGTGAGCTTCCGGCCACGAAGTGGTGCAAGCTCTACCGTACTGTCAAGTCGCTGGTATATGGTATATGCTGTCAAGTCTCTCACTATGACAGCTATCTATCACTTTATGGACTAATTATCAAACATTTGCTGGTATTATTAATTAAATGTACCTAATTTAGTACAAAAGGATATACAGTACTGTAATTATATAGGTACTTACAGTATTGTACATGTTAAAAACGCTTAACGGTACCAGTACTGGGTAGTGGGATTATTTACTTCCCACTACCTGTGCACCTAATCAGCTGACTCTTCAGAGGTACAATATTGCCATTGCACCGTCACTATCACAGCTAACTATCACTGTATGGACCTAATGTCCATGCAGTGTTATTTCATGTTTACTATATTGTCTTATGCGTACATAATGTTGTTATACATGTGCGTATAGCTATTTATATGTATTTTCCACACCTGGGACCGGCATGAAAAATTCAGCGGATTTTGCATTCTTGCCGGGTTCATTTAACCTAACCCCCATGATCTTTAAGGGAATACTCAGAGTTGTAAAAAGTACCGGATTTTATTACTTTAGTAAAAGTATTGTTTCATTGACAAAATGTTACTCAAGTAGAAGTACAGTAAATCTATCCAAAGTTCATTGTACTCAAGTAGAAGTAAAAAACTGTCTCATTCATAAAGTACTGAAGTAAAAAAGTAAAAAGTAACAAAAAAGTTATTATTTGTTTCAAATATTAAAACAGATGCACAATAAATAATAAAAAAAAATAGATAACTCAAGATAAAAATAAAAGACACACAGCATTACACATGATTTGTAAGTCTTTCTATTGAGATTAACCAATAACTGAATCTCAAAATTATGGCTGTCCAATCAGGATCTTTTAGGCCTAGATATACAGTAAGCCCTGAATGACTAAACAGACGCTCACAAGCAGCAGACGTGAAGAAACGCTTGTGATTGATCAGTATCCAAGTTTGTCCTGTGTCCTGTGGTTGGATATTTAAAACTATTGTTTGGGGCATGAAGCGAGTAAATTTTTTTTTTTTTTAACTGTATTGGAGTAAAAATATTATACTTAAGTAAAAGTACTGACAATTTTGATTACTTTTTAAACAGTAAATACCTGTACCCCAAAATGTTACATGAGTACAGTACTCAAGTAAATTTACAACTCTGGGAATACTGTACTACTGTAAAATGCATAAATTTTTTTATTCATACAAGCCTTTTCCTGCTATGGTGCCTTAAATAAAAAAAATAAAATGATTGTGTCTACTCAAAACAGTACTGATTTTCCAGTACCTCTAGAGAACCTGTAGGAAAATTGTTTTGTATTATACAGTACAGTACTTGGTCACTGTTGAATTTCATATTAATATACCAGTACTGTAGTAGTATTACATAAAATCAATTGAAAGCTTTTGGTTAAACCTCATGAACTAAATTCTTATATTAAATCTTCAAGTATATTTGTTATGAATTAATCTGCAAAAATTTTAGGTGAGCTGCTAAATGGTGCAAGAAATTATGAATGGGACACATGACTAGAAAATTTCTGCATAAATTTACCGCATTAATGTTACTTGCATGCTTACACAGGGTATTGAGAAATGACACAGAGTTGTGCACAGTTATATACATATATATATATATATATATATATATATATATATATATATATATATATATATATATATATATATATATATATATATATATATATATATATATATATATATATATATATATATATATATATATATATATATATATATATATATATATATATATATATATAACTAGCACTGTACATCATGGTTGTATTAAACAAAGTTGTATAATCTCCTTAAAAAAAAGATACTGGATTTTTTGTCAGTTTTATCGTTTGACATTCTGCATTGTGATATGTTTCATCCTGTTATCCTTTGGAAGACCTTTCTTGTAAGTGTTTCAGTGAGTTTTTGTCAATGCTTTAGCACCATGAGTCAATTGTATGCCACTGATGTGCTGCATATATGATTAAGTGGGAGGAACATTTTCCTCCATCCAGCAAAACTTGAACAACTCTTGTTTATTTGGGAGTACAGTACATACTGATATTAAATTCTTTAAGCAATGTTAGGGAAGGCTGAACTGAATTTTACATAGATAATGGCTAAAGGTATCTGCTAATACTGTACAGGGGGCCCCCAAATTCGCGAATTTTTATTTCGCGGTTCTCTATTATTCATAGATAACACTCTGAATGTACCCAAGAATGTCTGTGGGTAGTTTAAATGTTGCCGGCATTTTTGCGGCTGGGACAGGGAGCCATTCGTTCTAGAGACTGCAATTTCCTTTACCTATACAGTAGAAGTCCAAAAATCCGGACTGCTTGGGGATTGGATCGGTCCGGATTTTCGGATTTTCCTGATTCTCAGGCAGTACTTTTAGAATTCAAATTTAAGGAGGAATAAAGAAGAGATGAACAGGTACATTTTGATAGTTAATTCATTCGCAAATATAGCATGCTTCATTTATCAAAACGAGCAGTTTTAAAGAAAAAGCTGTGAATATAGAATTTTATTCTTTGCCTTTTTTATATCATAAATTGTAGACTTTCCAATGCCGATGTTTCCATTAGAAAAGTATTGCTCACACCACGTTCTAGTGTCTTGATTATTTCAAGTTTGTCACTCAATTACAACGTGTTCTTTCTCTTTACACAACGAAGTTTATCTACTTTAGGAGCCATTATTATGGGCTTGTACAGTACTCTGTAAATGGAAAGAGTAGGATTCAAAATTACATACAGTGAGTTAATAATAATAATAATAATAATAATAATAATTAACGGTTTATTGAAAGAGCTTGACAGCCAGAAAGCTGAAAATATACAGTTACATATTTGGGGAATGGGTTTCGAATTACAAATAATATACAAGTAACTTAAGTGATACAAATAAGTTCTGCTATAACGCGTGTTTTGACAGCGTGAATTGGCTCTAACGCGATTCATGAATAGAGGAACGATATTTGTTTAACGCGAACGCTTGTTTGCTGTAACGCGATTTTTGCTTACTATTTCTCCAATTTTGTGGTATTAACTGTGAATATGGTAAAGAAGAATATCTCCAAGAAGCGTTCTAGTGATCGCATTCCCGGTGATGATTGTAAAAGAAAGGCTATAACCCTTGAAGAGAAGCTCGATGTTATCTACCTCAAAATCACCCTTCTCCCCCTTCAAGTTATATTCATATTTTTTCAAGGTAAAGTGTTACATTTACTGTATGATTTCATTATTAGATATGAATGTAACATTTATTTAGACTGTGCTATCGTTTGTGTTAGGCTAACTACTAAATTTTTTCGATTTCAAGTAGTAGTCTGCACCTAACCCTATTTTCTCCATAAGCCCTGTTATTTCTATTACGCGAATTTCTATAACACGATGTTTTACAAGAACACAACTATCGCGTTATAGCAGAACTGACTGTACGTTGTCACAGTTTGATTGCTCGTTTTAAAGTG